AATCGCACTTGTTTTGTGTTCATTGTGTTTCAATAGTTAACTCTTTCCCTTTGATCCCTAAAAGAAATTGGCTTTTCAGAGAATTACTGATATTGCTGGATGGGATAGCTTTAAATGGGCAAATCTTGTTTTTCATTCAGGCTGTGAAAATATATCTAACAGATGGTCTGCAGGGTGTTCGGACCCATTATGGTGGTGTAGCCAGACAACTTTGAGCTTAGTAATAAGTACCTCCAAAAGATTATTAATTTTAAACGTATCCAGATAATGTCATTCTTTTATTAAAAGCGTAATGATGGGTGTTCAGGAGTTCAGGGGTGGGGGTCAGGCTCTCTAGATAAAGTCTGGAATTCTGTTTTGTCTTCTCACTTACATTTCACAGTTATTCTTGACTCCACAGCTGTACTGTGGGAGATTCGAGCGATGTGTTTTTCTCTCTCTATTGTCTTCTTAGCAGAAGGCACTGACTCATATATTGCCACAGATATCGACTACACAGCAATATCAACAAGTTGCTTCCCACCATCAGACTTACCTTGGACTACTCTTTAGAATCAGTTTCATTCTTGGACACAAACATCTCCATCAGGGATGGGCACCTCAATACCTCACTCTACCGCACGCCTACAGATAACCTCACGATGCTGCACTTCTCTAGCTCCCACCCTACACATATTAAAACAGCCATCCCCTACGGCCAAGCCCTATGCATACACAGGATCTATTTGGATGAGGAGGAATGAGACAGACACCTAAAGGTGCTGAAGGATGCCCTCATAGGAATGAGATGCGATGCTCAACTCATCGATCACCAGTTCCAAAGTACCACAGCAAAAAACCATAATGACCTCCTCAGAAGACAGATACGGGATACAGGGTACTCTGACAGGGTACTCTTCGAAATTCAGTACTTCCCGAGAATGGAGAAATTTACACCACGTTCTTTGCAGCCTTCAACATATTATCGATGACAATGAACACCTTGCAATGATCTTCCCTGTGCCTCCCCTTCTCACCTTCAAACAACCGCCAAACCTTAACAGACCATTTTTTACAGGAAACTACCCAGCCTTCAGGGCAACATCGACCCCAACACCATACAACCCTGTCGTGGCAACCTTCGCAAGATATGTCAGATCTTCGACATGGATACTACCATCACACGTGGGAAAACCACCTACCACATACATGGCACATACTCATGTGACTCGGCCAACATTGTCTATATCATACGCTGCAGGCAAGGATGCCCCAGGGCATGATACATTGGCAAAACTATGCAGATGCTACGACAACAGACAAATGGACACCACGCAACAATTGCCAAACAGGGATGTTCTGTCCCAGTGGGGGACCACTTCAGCGTTCAAGAATATTCTGCCTCAGATCTTCGGGTAAACGTCCTCCAAGGTGGACTTCGAGATATTCAACGCAGGGTCGCCGAGCAGAGGCTGATAGCTAAGTTCAGTCCTCATGAGAGCGGCCTCAACCGGGATCTTGGGTTCACATCACACTACAAGTGACTTCACCGCACTGTACACTCACACACACATATACATACACACACACTCACTCACACAAACACACATTCACTCACGCAAACACACACACACACACACACATGCATGCATACACACACACTGTCATACAAACACATTCTCATACACACACACGCATACACACATACACACTCTGTCACACAAACACATTGTCACACCTACACACATATGCATACACACACACACACTCTCTCTTCCTCACACAAACACACACACACACATGCCCACATGGGAATCAATGGGGTGAATTTGTATTTGCAGTTACATTCTATTTTGTTAAAAAAACACACAAGTTATAGACAGTCAGTCAATGTGGCATTTTATAATTTCCTACTTTAGAAATAAAACCAGTCTGACTCCAAACCAAAACACAAACAGATTCTAAATAAGGCCTCACACCTAACTTGCATTGTCTGACCTAAAATGTCACCTCTTCTTTACACTGATAAAATTTTTATTTCTCTCAGGACAATGAGTTGAAAGAAATTCAGGGATTTACATATACATATTAATTAATTAAAACCTTCTAACTGATTATAGATTTAACAGCATCTTAGGTTTGTTTAATACATCCTCATCAGTTGTGTGACCCTTTGATTTTTTACTTATAAATTCTGTGTTTTGTGTGCTTCTTTCTCACTCCATCTGACACTCTGAAAGCTTGCGTTTCAAATGGACCTGTTGGACTATAACCTGGTGTCATGTGATTTCTGACCTTGTCCACCCCAACACCCCAACACCAGCACCTGCACATCATCCTCTATCATACTGTGTGTTGACCTGTATCTGGATGGACATCCTCACTGAAATCTGCCATTTACTGTAGCCCTGACTGCAACCTTCGAGTGATGCAAAGACTTGAGGCGGCACAGTAGCTCAGTGGTTAGCACTGCTGCCTCACAGCGCCAGGGACCCGGGTTCAATTCCACCCTTGGGCAACTGTCTGTGTGGAGTTTGCATATTCTCCCTGTGTCTGCATGGGTTTCCTCCAGGTGCTCCAGTTTCCTCTCACAGTCCAAAGATGTGCAGGTTGGGTGGATTGGCCATGCTAAATTGTCTATAGTGTTCAGGAATGTGTAGATTAGATGGGTCTGGGTGGGATGCTGTGAGGATCGATGTGGACTTGTTGGGCCAAAGGGCCTGTTTCCCCACTCTAGGGATTCTATGACTGCATTTCAAGTGGATGTAAAGGTGTCCAAGGCCATGAATGTCTATGCCTTGGGCCCCTTGCAGACATTGCATATGTTTAAAGAAAGGCCATACTAGACCTTGTTATTGGGAATGAGCCTGGCCAGGTGATCAAGGTTTCAGCGGGGATCATTTTGGGAACGGTGATCATAATTCCATAAGTTTTGGTCCTCAGG